GAGCTCTCGGCGACGCCCAATGCGTGCGCCGGTAGGGGGGAGTGTGTGCGCGCGTGTGTGAGATGAGGATTGTGGCAGGCTGGCTGCTGCTGATGTGGGCAAGTGTGCTCTGTGTGCGGCGCTGCGCTGGCGTGCGACGCGCGCGTGCTGTGTACGTGTGCGTGCTGCGGTCGCGCGCGCGTCTGTGTGTGCTGCGCGCGCGCCGCCGGTGTGTGCTGTGCGCTGTGCTCTGTTTTGCGCCCTGTTTGTGCAGCTGGGAGGCGCAGGCTTGGCTGGCAGGGCTGCGCGGTGGGCTGCGGCGTGCTGCGGGTGGTCGCGCGCCTGCCTGATGGTGTACGGCGGCCGCGCAGCCCGCCCGACCGGGTCGTCGGCGGCCCAGGGCGCGAGCATGCGGTCGGCGCTGCATGTGAGGCTGCTGCGCGGCTGGCGCGTATGTTTCCGTGCGGCGAGGGACGCGCGTATGTGTTCACGCTGCGGGCGCGGGCGGGCGCGGGGGGCGGCGCGGTCTCACCGCGGTCCGACGTCGGTTGGTCTTCGGCGTGGCGAGGGCGGGCGCGCAAAGAGGCCTTGCCGCCATCGCGTTGCCGCGAAGGAAAAAGAATCGGTACGTATACATAACAGTACTGACCACGTCTCCTCTTGCTTCGGTGTATTCCTTATTTAATCTAAGACGCTCCCAAGCAATCTCACTGAACACCTCCGTAGACCGCCTACAGGCTGAGGAGTCCCGAGCGGGAAAAATAATGATAGTTAGACCACCTCAGTTTTGAACCCCGTAGACCGTCACAAGCGCCTGAACGTGCTCCGTCTCGTACTTGAAGACGCAATGTCCTGCGGGGCGCACGGATCAGGGACTGTGAGAAGCTTGTTAGCTGATGGCGTCGCCAGCAGGGTGGTGCACGCCACCGTCTGTTGAGCTGTCCCAGTGGCAGGTGCACGCGTTGGCGAGGCCGGCGCCAACATTCTGCTGGAGTTCGCACAGGACTAGGGCGGGAGGGGAGCGGTGAGCAGCGCGGGAGGGAGGACCTTCGTATTGTGTGTGTTTTTGTGCCGCTCGCACACCGACGAACTTGAATGGACGCTTGCCTTCGCGCGCCGCATTCTCGTTCTCCGCAGCGAGCTCCTTCAATATGTTCTCGATCACGACGGATTGCAGGTCCGACGACTTGGCGTTCCAGAGGTAATCGGGTGCAATCTCCTTTTGCACGATCTGCGGAACGGGGTGGCGGCCGGCCGCAGCTGAGACGCCGCCCCCGCCCTGATCCCCGAAAGAGGGGGGCAGCGCACCCGCTCGACCAGCGGTTTGATCGTCTCCCCCTCGAAGGCCACCCCCTCGTCGTCGTCCATGTCTGAAAGCTGCCACGGGCGGTCCGCGCGCGCGCGGGCGGTCGCACGGAAACGGTCGAGTTCGGTGTGTTTGTTGTCCGGTCAACGCCGGGTTTGGGACTCCCCCTCCCCCGCCGCCCTCGTGATGGTCGGATTGACTCTCCGCTAAGACGGCTACACGCACACGAGCCGCGGTCGTGTAGCCGTCATAGCGGCGAGGCGCGGAGCCGTTTGTGGCGAAGGACCGAATCAACCTTATGCGATACCGTCAGACTCGAGGGG